GCACAAAAGGTTGAGTCACCTTATGAGTTATGGAAATGTTAAAAACTTTCCTACAAATATCTAAAAGTGTGGGAGTGTTTGGCAAATGTACAAATACTTCTATTTTAGTATTTGTCACTTTTTTTAAGTTAGAAAAAAGTGACATTATATCACTTTTTCATTTTATCACAGTATTTTTTTACTTTTTAAAAACTTTTTATATGATTTTTCAAAACATCATTAATTTTAAGGGTATTTTTTTAAGTACCCATTTTTATATGTAAAATGGCCCAAAGACTCTGCTACTTTAACAAAATCTTGCAAAACTTTCTTACTTCTTATTTGTGGAAAAACGAACCGGCCCTATTCTCTGTAACTATTAAAGCCTTTTTGCAAAGTTCAATGACGAATGAGGTGATTTTTAAAGTTCAGTGATGGATGTGATTGCAGTTTAGAAAGTTCAGTGACTAACCACGTATTTTTTAAAGTTCAGTGACATGGTAGAAACTTTCGGTAAAGTTCAGTGACTATTGGGGTAATTAACCCCTCATTTACATAGCATAGTTTTTGTGGGAAACCTAAATAGATTCATAATTCTACTCCCACGTGGATATTATAAAATTGCCCATCCTCTAATTATCATTTAGATTTCTAGTAGATTGAATTTATAGTGGTTTCATTTCGTTACCATTCCTTAGGTTTAATTGTAAAATGCATTTTCTTTTTTCAGTTATTGGTTATATCACAGTTAACAAACTCCAGTCGAAATGATGAAAAGTCAGTAAATTATATTCGGATCCTTTTTACTTGGTTACTATTTCGTCTAGGTTTGGCTATTGCAGGATTCTATTGATTTCATAATTGATATATTCAAACAAATCGTTTGGGATTTACACGTGTTTTCATTTGCTGAGCAAGATTGTATTAAAAATAAGGAAAATTGCAGCAGTGATCTCTAACCTTCCACTTTTTTGCAGACTTTACTCTCACCTTCAATTTGTGTCAGGGGAAGTTCCTAACCTTTGAGAAATAAGCATTCGGAGTCCAAATTATCCATTTGACCGTTAGTTGACTAACAAAAGTGGGGTTTGATTAATTTTGACCAAATTGAAATGAGTAAAATGATAACTTTGCTATTTTATACATAAAATAATTTTAAAAACCAGGAATAAAATAAAACAAAATAAAATAAAAGAGATAAGATAAGATAAGATAAGAAATAAAAATAAAAAATCATCTTCCACATCTCACCTACCTCTCACTCCCCCCACCACCTAAAACCCATAAAACACTTATCCACCCTTCGACCTATTGCCGACAACTACCTGCAAATGCCGACCATCCCCAGCCACCATCGTAAACCAAAATCAACATCTGAAACAACAACACAAAGAATCTCCCCCAATTGGAAAATTAGAATCTCAAAACCAACTCCATTGAAATGGGACGATGCATCGAAATGGCTCGTAAATCTATTGAAAGGAATAGATAAAAATTGGACAAAAGCTTTCCACAGTAATTCAAATGATGATGACAGGAGATTGATAGTTCCGATACCAAAGAAGGAATACTCGAGTGGAGATGAGGAAAAAACGATGGTACTAGCTCTACAAGTGCGAGTCCATTTGAAGTGGGAACTAAGAAAGTAGATTGTGATGAAGAATCAATAAGCCCGTTAATAGTTTTGCATCGGTTTTGCGCTCTATGTGCGTGAGGGATATGGGGACGGAAATGACTTCAATAGCAAGTCAAGAGCCCTCGAGAACGGCTACTCCTATGAGAGCCTCCACTCTAGTATCAAAAAGCCTTATATGCTCGGGTCCATCAACTACTGTAAGAAGATAGAATGAATGGCTGGTTCTCGAAAGTAGTCAAACTGTATAATCTGACTAAGATGAGAGTTGAGGCTGGAAGGTTTTTAAGATTGTGATTTTCAAATTGGTTTTGGTTTGCGGTGGTGGCCGGCGATGGGCGATAGTGGCAGGTGGTGGTCGGCGATAACAGGTCGATGATTGGTAATTGTTGGGAGAAGTTCACAGTGATTAGCAGATAATCAACAGAAAAATATATGCAAAAACAGAAACTAAATGAACTGAAATAAGAGCAGTAAAATCGAAATCAAAGCATAAACTGCAAAATTGAACACTTAGCTTTATTATTCACGCCCTCAGGCCAAACTCATACAAATAGTGCTTCAATCACTCAAGAATGAACACCACAACGTTCGAATCAAACCCCAAGGTACAGATTACACAGATCGACACTCAAACAAGCCCTAAATATATCATAAAAGGAACTCTCTTCTCAGACAACTCAATCCACTCAAGAATCAGTACTCAATACAGGTAAATCACTCAAGATTACAAGCTATTGAAAGAAAACAAGAAATCAAATGAGTTTATTTGATTTCATCAGTGAGAGGAAGAGAGAACTCGAAGAACGGCTTAGAACGTGAGAGAAAAGAGGAAGGATCTCGAAGACCAAGTTATGAACTCAAACCCTAGAATGAGCCTTTTAAATGGGTCACTCAACAGTCGTCCATCCAACGGTATTGGAGGCGACACGTGGTGACTCCATCAGCGTTCATTTCATCAGGTAAGTGAGAAA